CCCCCCTGCCCGGCCCCCCCTAGCCCACCACTACCCTCCCCCCGCAACACCTTGGCCGAATTCCAATCTCTCACGAGAGGGTCGCTCTGGTCTATGCCTCGCCCTCTGCCCCTACCCCCCGTACCGGCTGATGCCGTAGGAGACGACTCGCCCCCGTTGTTCCTGCCGCCAACGCCACGGCCCGCCCCTGACCCAGGGCGCCCTCGCGCTCTACTCGCCGGCGCATTGCCGCGGACCGGCGGTCGACCGGGCGCCACGGTGGGCGGATCGGTGCGGCCGCGGTCATCATAGTAGTCGTCGTCATCGTCGGGGTTCGCGCGGCGGGCGGCGTAGAGCCGCCAAGATGGGGATGGCGGCAGCGGTAGCACGCGCGAGCGGGGAGTGCTCGCCGCCGCCGCCGCTGCCGCAGAAGCGGGCTGCCGTCGCCGTCGCTGCTGTTGCATGTTGTTGTTGCTGCTGCTGCGGCTACACTGCTGCTGTCTCGTCGCTACCAGTCCCGTCAACGTCATCTCCGTCGTACCGGGAGAGTAAAGCCTGCCGCTTCTTTGGCTTCGTGCCAGGAGTCGTGGTGGTTGTGGTGCGGGAGCGAAGGCCATGACGGCGGTGCTTGCTGTTGCTGTTGCTGTTGCTGATCGCCTGCGGCTGTCGATGCCCACCCCGTTCTCTCCGCTGCACCCACCATCTCCACCGCCAAGGAGGGACAGCCCCGGGTGAAGAAGACAGGAACCCGCGAGGGAAGCCCAGAGGTAGAGATGCATCGCAGCCACACAGCAATCGAGAGCGAGCGAAGCTGTTGGTTACGGTGACCTGTCAAGCTGTTGCGGTGCATCACTCATGTTGCACTGCGGCGGCGGGGGCAAGGGGCCCCGTCTTGAATTCTGGGGTACGTTGCCATTACGTTTGCTGTTTGATGTGCCCCGCCCCTCAGCAGCTACCATGTAGCATTGTGCACTTCTTCTCTCTCTTTCCCGCCCTGTCTCCCTCCCTCCCTCCATCAAAGCTGACCAGCAGACCTCGTTGAACCATGAATGCGGCACGTACTGGAAGGGGTGTGGCTGGGTTGGCTGCCCGTCGATCAGGTGCGTTGGATATTTTTTTCTCTCTCTTCATGAGAGAATTCAACACGTCCTTCTCGAACACAGAGCCCTCCGAGACAATCCGCACCTGCAGCTGCTGTTATTTCGCCTGCTTGCCATGGGGGCGTGTCGTGTTGTACGTCACCATCCTGTATAGCCCTGTTATCCTGAGGTAGGCGTAGCGCTGGCTGCACTTCCTAAACCCTCAGCTGAGCTGTGACACATGGGCGTACTTGCTTCCTCACCGAAAAAATGCAATTGGAAAATAGTGTCTGCTGCCATTCATGCGGGGGAAACACACGTCATACCGGGCAGGCGTGACATGTCAAGACATGTGTGTTGGTATGTTTCCTTATCCTTGTACGGGCGAGGCAGGTGATATCGTACATGAGTGTAGATTTCCAGCGCCCTTTTGCCGTGACAAGGGCTGCAGTCGAGCAGCGGGCTACCACTTTTCTATCGTCATTGTTACTGGGCGTAGAATCACGATGTGAAATCAAATACGGGGCTCGTTCTCTTGAATCGTCAATGATGAATGCGTACGTCTGCGATTTGCGCCGCGTGTGATGACATGGATACGAAAGATCGTGTGAAGCAGCCATATTAGTAGATCGTTCGCCTTTGACCGCTTTGTTATTTCTCGGCTGTAAGGCACGGCATTCCCTCACTCAATGCCAAGGACACCGGAACACAAGAGCTCGCCTCTATGCCCTGTTCCGTCCGAGCTCTTGGCGTGTTCGTTTACGGCGATGAATTATATCTAGAATTGACACACGAATCTGTTCGTGAAAACAAAAACTGCCCGCCTATCGCGCACATACATGCATACGCAAATGAACCACAGGCATGGATGAACGCACGATGCGCAGCAAGATAGTGCTAAAACAAAAACGTAGGACATTCATTCAACAACAGCCCGTGTGAGATTCCTATCTTCGTTTTGTTTATCTCCCACGCGACACACGGGGACTAGCTGTTGTCATGCATACATCGACAAAACATCATGTTATGTGTCCGGACGGGCGTAGCGGGGCGTTGTTTCGCCTTTAAGTTAAATACGATAAAGTATGTAGACACCCGCGTTTCCAGCTGTTTTCGCCGTGCTCATGAAGAACACTCGTCCTCCCAAACAGGGAGGACTGGGTTTGCCGCTGCTAGGGGCGGAGGCGGGGTCGGCTCTGTGCCGAACGGCAAGATGTCGTACCAGCTCTTCCCGGCACCGACACTCTGTCGAAGCCCCAACACAGCGGAGACTCTAACCCTATAACCATTAGGGGACGAGTGTCCGGTGTGTACGGGCTTCGACGCGAGTGTCGGTGCCGGGAAGAGCCGGTCCAAGATCTGGCCGTCCGGCACAGAGCCGACCCCGCCTTCGCTCCTAGCAGCGGCGAACCCACTCCCCCCTGTTGGGGACACGTCGAGGAGAAAGCACACTTTTTCGGGGTTGGGACATTCAAGTACCGTATATGACACAAGATAACACATTCCCTTAACCGATTTTCGAAGCTCGATTTCTCAACTGCAGGAACAGTCACAGCGCCGAAAACGACCGCGTTGAAACCGTCTCGTCGAGAGCTTTCCAAAAATGTGTTGTTTCATTTATTCATCCTATTCGTCGTGGAGTAATCGAGCTTTGAAAATCGGTCCAGGGGGTGTGTTATCTTGTGTCATATACGATATTCGATGGCGTCGGTAGATATTTGGATTTCGCACTGCTGTTCCGAAGTATGTGACAAAACTATACCATGTAGGGTCACCTTCCTACTACTTTCGTACTGCGTCCCCAAAGGTGAAAAATAAAGATACAGTACCCAGAACAGAAACAAGCAACACCACAAACCCCAAATCATCATCTCATTGCCCCAAAGCTACAAAAATATACTGTATTATACCGTTCGACGATCGGATGTTTGCACCCCAGAACATACGAAAAGGGACCAAAACTTGTTTCCCATGATCACTGACTGTCTTTACCTTTTGTCCCTCGGACCCTCCTCACGGCGAGAAAGGGTAATTCAAGGGCGTGTTTAGTACAGTACGATACTGCCAGTATTTTCAGTATTGAAGTACCTTTGGCCATAATATACTATACTGCACGTTTTAGTACAGCTTTCGATACTGGAATAAAAATACTGCACGCTTTAGTACAGCTTTCGATACTGGAATATACTGTACTGGCAGGACGGCGCTCGGTACTGTACTGTACTGCACGCTTTAGTACAGCTTTCAATACTGGAATAAAAATACTGCACGCTTTAGTACAGCTTTCGATACTGGAATATACTGTACTGGCAGGACGGCGCTCGGTACTGTACTGTACTGCACGCTTTAGTACAGCTTTCAATACTGGAATAAAAATACTGCACGCTTTAGTACAGCTTTCGATACTGGAATATACTGTACTGGCAGGACGGCGCTCGGTACTGTACTGTACTGCACGCTTTAGTACAGCTTTCAATACTGGAATAAAAATACTGCACGCTTTAGTACAGCTTTCGATACTGGAATATACTGTACTGGCAGGACGGCGCTCGGTACTGTACTGTACTGCACGCTTTAGTACAGCTTTCAATACTGGAATAAAAATACTATACTGTACTAAACACGCCCTTGAAAGGGTTCAGGCTTGTGCTGTGTAAAATGAACCGTAAATGACGGAAGACAACACACCCCCTGGACCGATTTTCAAATCTCGATTTCTTAACAATAGAAAGAGTCACAGCGCCGACAACAGTGGCGTTGAAGCTGCCTCGTCGAGAGCTTTACGAAAATGTATTGTTTCATTTATACATCCTCTTTGTCGTGGCATGATGGAGCTTTGAAAATTGGTCCAGGGGGCGTGTTATCTTGTGGTACACACGGTAGTCTTGGGAGGTTGGCGTTGGGTTCGCTTACAACGGATGTGTAAGCTGGTACCGTCTGTTTGGTGCACAAAACTTGAGTGAAACAACACAACATCATTTTTGTAGCAGACATCCGCGAGGCAAGTTCTCGTTCTGGTGTTGGGAATGGAAACACGTCTTGACGAGCTTGAGCCATCATCGCCACCCCACCACAGCAGTATGTACATTACTCGAGTTCCGGAGACAGAAGAGGAACAACTTGGTGGAGGCTCAATTTGGTACTGAATTTCGTCACCACGTACAGCGCTATATGACTTGGTAGAGTGTCTTGAATTGTAGGCTCCGCGGCTGAGTTGTCTACCGTAGGCCAATTCTCTCATTTCTCGTCAGCGCTTCTGCCTCCTCTTTTTCTCCAAGGCATTTGTTTCAGCTGCGGGGCGCGCACTGCTGTACTCTTCCACCAGAGCCGAACCTAACCTAGCACCGACCCCCCATCCCCTCCCCTCCCCGCCCCCATCGTTGTCCCCCCGATACCTCCGGTGTCTCGTGTGTCCCGGTCTTGTTTGTCGGCTCGCAGGAATTTCCGCACCAAGCCAGGCCGTGAACCGACAGGTACGTCGACATTCCGCGCGGGACAGTCAGCAGCAAGCACAGCTTGGATGCACGCGAGCCCTACTTGCCCTCGCTACCGATGTTGTGATTGTGTTGATTTTTATGGCTTCCTGTTGCTACGGTGTTGTGCTGTCTGTTGCCGCGCGCTCTGTGCCCATGGTGAACGCCACCTTGTTGTCCACCCCATGCCACTGTCGCGTACATGCGTGAGCGCTTCGTTGCAGAAATGGACGCTGCTGCCGTTTACTGGTAGTCTTCTTGTGGAGTGTTGTTGTCGACCACGTGAAGAAAGACACAGGAGTACACCGCGCGATAGAAGATTTTGCTGTTTTTCTCTGCGTTTTCGTTCTGGCCGCTCGACAACATGCGTACCTTGGTTTGAAAGAAAACAGAGACGAGGAAGCGTGTGCCGTATGTCCCAGTCCCCCTCAGTGCCACGCCATGCGTAGCAATTAATAGGTGCACTCAGACCGGGATATGTAGGTCATACGTATGGCGTGGTTCACAACGTCCAAGTACCACCCACGGGCGAATATCACCCGGTCGCACGGAGACGGTTATGGTGGGCTAGCCGGCCGCTCGCAAAGCACAGACGACGAACACGCGCACACACACCTTCCACAGGTGGCATACAAGACCACAGCTTCGAAAAAGGGCAAGGGGGTCGTCGGCAAAGTCAAGAAGCCAGCCGCCGCTGCCGCCGCCGCGCCGACACCCCCCCCCCCCCCGGGGGGGGGGGGGGTGCTGCGCCTGCAGCCAGCGTGACCCCCAAGACAAAGTCGAACAACTTGCTCATCGGTTCGGTGCTGGTGGGAGCGGCGGCCGCCTCGTACTACGTGACCATTCACAAGATGAAGGACCAGGTGTGTGCTGTGGTTGGTGGGTCGTGTGTCTGCGAGGAGCGTCTCGTGGACAATACGCTGCTATTGTCCTTGTCGAGTGGATGGCTCTTATCTTGGTCTTGTGCTTCTTTGGGAGCGGAAGCGGAACTATTTACCGACATTGTAACCTCGTACGGACAGCCAAAGCGCCGAAGCCAGTGTGTCAGCTTGGTCGCCTTGTCTTTCGCCAGAAATGCCCAGTTACTTGGGCCCTGACATACCCGGCGTTGAACACGACTCCTTTGTCCAGATTGTTGGTTCAGCTGCTGACCACCGCCGCCGCTGCTGCGCCCTGCCTCTGTGTATGTGCGTGTTGCACGCTGCACCCGAACGTGATTGCACGCTGCCGAAACTCAACAACACCATCACCGACAACTATACTACTCCTGCAGGACTTCCTTGGCGACGCAGAAAAGGAGGCCGAGGAGGAGGCGCAGGTATGTTGCAGGGATGCCAAGCCCTAAAGTGTGATGCGGGACGACGGACACTATGTCCGTAAGGGCTTCCCCCGAAACGAAACATGCCTGTCGGAGTTGTTTGTGGGACATCGGCTCGTTGAAGGTTGTTTGTTGTCAGCTCTTTCGTTCTTCTTCATACCTCCGTGCTGTTTTGTCCCGTGCGCAGCGGCGAAGCAGGCACAGGGCATGGGACGCTCGACACAGCACTAGTTGGATTGGACCCCGACCGAGAGCGGGTCGCATGACTTGAATACACTCGACACGTCGAAGTGAACAGTAGAACAGACCTACGTCGAAGTGAAAAAAAAAAGAAGGAACAGGCGTGGGTCTGATAATCTGATTTCCGCTTCGTATTGGTGGGACGTGTTTTGAATAAACGCCGCAAAAATGGCAAAGCTGCGTCGATTGTTTGTAGCTTTCTTCGGTTTCGAGGAGGGCGTTGTGGGTTTCTGTTGTTGTTTTGCGCAAGGAATGAGTTGAACGTTGTCTGTCAAGGTGTGTCGAGTGTGTGGTGACTGGTTGAACAGGAATTGCAAGCAGGCGTCGGGGTCTGACGCGACCGAACGTGTGGGACAGAGTGACCAGTACTCCACGGAGTTGACGACTCGTTTTCGGTGCATGTCGTGCACGTCACGGCAAGATCGTGGCAAGACGATGACGCGTCGTCTTCTGCAGGTGTAAGACGAATACCAAACCACACAGCCAGGCATTCACCCGCCCACCTGCTCATGTATACGGCGTCAACATCTTAACCGATCGAAGTTGCACCCCACGGCGCCCCCTCCCAGGTTAACCTCCACAAGAGCGGACTTAAGGTCTCCTCCAAGGTGGTGCCGGAGAAGGTGGAGAAGGTTTTCAACAGGGCCGCGAACGCGGTATCGAAGTCCACCGACAAGGCTGAGGACAAGGTGCGGCGAGTGCTGGCAGGTGTTGGCCGCGGTGGGGACCGGGGGGGGGGGCGTGGCGTGGTCTGATATAGTCGTAGCGAAGGCTCGTTCGTGAGCGGGAGAATGACGGTCTTGGACTCCTCGAGGGATTGATTTGCTTATACCGATGGAGAGGGCCATGGTTGAACGCTGCGTGTGCCTGTTCGTATTGCTTGGTTGCTTTCGGTTGATGTGTGTTCTGACTCAATCACCAGCTGATTGGGCGAGAGCTATGCATACGTACAAGACTGTCGCAGTGTGCCTCGACTTGACCATTTTTGGTTCTCATCAAATGGCAAAGACGTTTCGGGACTTCGATGACCACCAACTAACGGCGGTGATATATTACCGGTGTCTGACGACGAGAAGGGGGCGCTGTGTCATCGAAACCGCGCCGGCGCGATTGTGGTTGATGTTGATGTCGTCGCCCGACAGCATTTGCCGGATCATCTAGTCAGATATGCGTATTCACATCCGATCCAACGGCATATGTATGTGTCCCAACCCCCTTTTATTTTGCGCGCGTTATCATTGAAAACGAAAAGCACGTGGAAGGGGTGTCCGCAGATATCAAGGGTGTATGTCCCAAGCTGACCCACCCTCAAGAAAAATTGCGTGGTTTATTGTTGAAGAATCAGGTGGATATGCACGCAGACCAAGGGTGTGCGTCTCAAGCTGATTCATCCTCCACGTGTTTCTTTGTTGGCAACGAAAACCAGGTGGCAGTAGATGTCAAGGGCGTACGTTCCTAGCTGACGCATCCTCCGTATCCCGCGTGTTTTTTTGTTTCTCCTCCAAATCTTGCGCGTTTCTCTTGTTGAAATCGCGAAAAAACAGGCGGATGAGGTGTCGGAAGGCATGCAAGACGCTGCGAGCGAGGTGTCGAGCAAGGCCTCGGACGCCGCGAAGGAGATCAAAGACGAGGCAAAGAGCGCTGCGGCGGCGGTAAAGGATGCAGTAACGGGAGAAGAAGAAGTCCCCAAGAAAAAGGGCTGGAGGAAGTACATCATCTTCGGCCCACGTAGGGAGGGATGAGAAGAGGGAAAAAAATTATCAAGGCGACCACGACAACATGAAAGAGCACGTTTTTTTTTCATGTGTTGTTCATGTGGGGCGCGGGGATTCTGGTGCGAGAAGGAACTGACACTCGGTACTGGTGCGTTGTTGCCTTCTCTTTTTTTGTGTTTAATTGCCGGCTGACTTGTGCCGGCGAAACCAATCAATGCTACGCGGGTTGGCTCGAGGAAATGGTCTAGTTTACCGTCCCCGTTGTTCGTTGATTTTTTTTTTTCCTTTTTCGGTTCGGAGCTCTTTTTGTTGTTGATTTGTTTGTCGTCTGTGTTAGCTTATCCCGGGTGAACAAGAAGAAAAAGCTTGATTGCGCTTTCGCTCGCTGCCTGCGCACGCGGGGGTATCTGTATCCCCAACTGGCAAGCACCTGTTAATTGGTGACGAGCTATATTTAGCACCGAAGCTGGCTAGGTAGGAGACAAGTCCAACACGGTGCGTGTGTGTCACGCCCCTTTACCTCATTGCCCCCCCGTTTTGTCGCCCCCGTCCCCCCCCAGTTTCCCGTAAAAGTCAGCGCGTTTGCTTTGTGGGGAGTTTTCGAGGGGTTTTGCTGTGACGATAGAGAGGAGGTTTGGTTGCGCACCAATTTTCAGAGCATGTGTGTACCACGTTTCAAGCAAGATACAAGGAATGTTGCAACCATCTCGAACAAGATGGGGGGGGCGGCAGCGTTTGTTTGAGATTCTTTCGCCGCTTGTTGTTCCAAGCGCGCTTGCAGCCTCCACCCGTCGTTCGGATCGATCGCTTTTGAAAACCCCCATATAGATTTCGGTTCCATCGTCGTTTTGGTACGAAAGGAAACCGTCTCGTGCACTTCGAAGCGTTGCACGTACAGATATGTGAGGGTCTGCGTAGAACAGGGGCAGAGTAGGTGGGGTCCGGTGGCAGCATGCCCTGTTCCTGTTTCGTGTAGTGTCGTGTTTTAACGTTCTTGACGCGAAACAAAGCGGACAGCATGGAAGAAACGACTCTTGAAATTTGGAAACGTGCAGACTTTTCTACATCGTGCGGAATGTTCGGCGAGTTTGTAAATGAAAACCTCTCATCTTCAAGTGAGATAATTTTCCCCGAAATAAAGTATTGTTGTCTTCCATAAAAGTATTGTCCCCTGATATACTGGTTTCCACCAAAAATGATCCTAGGAAGTTCCATTCCCAACTCTGTCGGGAAGTTCGATCGGGCATTTGTTTTGTGCACCTGCCGCCTTAGCGAAGAAAATCTACATGTAGGTAGGTTCTCCCAGCCGACACAAAACCGTCATGTTGGCTTGCCCGGTGGGGCTGGGCGAAACATGCGCACAACCACCCAGAATCAACTTTAACGTGGCCAGCGGCGAACTTTCTCCCTCGCAATATAACACGGTAGCCCCGCTGGTGAACCAGAAGCGGTTACGGGACGCCCCCAAGGGTTGTTGCCGTGAGACGGGGACTTTCAGCCTCTGGCGCAATGCAAAAAATAAGTTTGAAGGCGTATTCTTTTCGTTTGCAGGTCTTACACCCGTGCCCCCGGGATGCTACGTGAACTCGACCAAACAATGCTGAAATCCGTCCCAATCTCAAATAACTTCAGATTACCTGAACGCAAAAGAGAAATCGTTGTAGTAGCTAGCCCAACGCCGACGCATCCACGCTCCTCACCCACCCTTCGGCCCGTTCCTCCCACTACGATATGCACACATGAAACCAAAGGAATCTCTAGAGCTATCAAGTGAGGTTTCAACTGCGATGGATATATCACTACGGGGGTTTACCAAGAACAACCCAGCGCACCAGCATTTAGCACCCAACAAACCAGCTAGCCTCAAAGAAAAATGCCGCAGTACAGTGTCGCATGCATCGATTGCCAACCAAGAGATCAAAACCAATGATCAAATTTGTCAACCGCACTCGGGAGCAATCGTCTCTTTCTCTTTCCTCCCCACTTCGTACTTCTATGGGAATCTACGTACATCTATCTACACCAAACACAAACGCTCACTCCTTCAAAGCGTAATACAAAGAAAGCACGAGCCCGTGGCGGACAAACAGTAATGGCCTTTCGAACACCACGTTGACCGACAATTCACGGATGGTATTGGTTGCGTCCCAGCTGATGACCGTTGCTTCCCACCACGGGATGCGCCGTGTCTTAGGATCGAGGCGATCTGGTTTTTGCAGCCATGTTGGCATGCTGGTTCACTTGCGGGCCTCCTGGCGGGCGTTCTTCCTGAAGGCTATCCTAGCCTCCCTCTTGGCAGCCCGGATGTCTTTCTGCGATGCCATGATTCAAATTGGTGGGAAGGGGGGGGGGTACTCATAGTCGTGCATGCCGTAGTCGTTAGACCATTGACCTCGCATCCCTACAAAGCCGGGACGGAACACGCCGGGTTCTCACCGGACCAGGCTCTCACATCACCAAGCGCAAAGCGCCGTGAGATGTTTCGGCGAGTCGCATGAAGGGTGCGCTGCATCCTGCAAAGGGTTTTCGGCATCTTGTGCTTACTTCCTTGCGTACGGATGACAGCTGCTGATGACTCAATTTATTTTCTGGTGCTTTCGCTTCCAGAGACAGTTGTAAGCACTGTGTAACTGCCTCGAGGGTGCTTGACCATTTTAGCACAACGTGGTGCGATCATCCACCTTGCGCGGAGTGAGGGTTCTCCACCCCGCACAACATGATCTACTCGACCACCATTGTGGTTACCGTCAAAACAAAAGAGGTACAAAAAAACCCCGGCAACCTGGTTGCCGAGTTCACGAAGTGAATTGGCTTGTTTTACACCGTCGTTGCCAAGCGACGAAAACCAAATAGGATCGACCGC